AGTAGTGGTGTTATTGACATAGGAATGTCAGATCACAGTTAAATTTATGCGGTTAAAAAAATCAATGTTCCAAAATATAAACAAACCTATTCGAAAGTTCGAAACTTCAAACGATTTAATGAAAGCGATTTTCTTGATGAACTATCTAAAATACCTTGGTACATAATCACACAGTGCATGAATCCAAACGATAGTTGGCATATTTGGAAATCTTTTTTTCTGGAAACTCTTGACAGGCATGCACCCTTAATTGACAAAAGTCTTAAGCATAATTCTGTCCTTGGATAAATTCCAACATCAAAAATCTAATCAGATCTAGAGACTTTCATAAAAAGAGAGCAAAGAAATATAATTCTCAGGTTCACTGGAATATATATAAATCTGAGAGAAACAAAGTCAACTCGGAACTAAAAGTGGCCAAAACAATCTATTATCAAACAAAAATTAAGGAAGTTTCTCTAGCTAAAGATATGAAAAAAACCTGGTCACTGATAAATAACTTATTAGGCAAAGGTAAAAGATCTAATATTGCAGAAATCAACATTAAAGGCAACATATATAATGACCGCCAACAAATAGCAGAACATTTTAACGACTATTTTGTTAATATTGGGCCGACCCTTGCTGCAGAATGTGAATGTTCATCCGATAACGAAGACCTCCACCGTAACTCAAATGAGGCAAATTAAACAATTCCATTTTCACATAATCACTGAATTCAACATTCTGAAAAACCTAAACAATCTAAAAACATCCAAAGCCACCGGGGTTGACGGCATCCCTGTAAAAATATTGAAATTATCTAGCAATATTATTACCCCAACCCTGACTTATATCTTTAATCTTTCAATTTATCTGGTATATTTGTTGACGATTGGAAAATAGCTAGAGTAACACCTATTTACAAATCAGAAGATAGAACGAAATGTGAGAACTACCGCCCAATATCCATTCTTCCTATAATAAGCAAATTATTTGAGAAAGAAGTATTTGGTCAACTTTATCAATACCTGATAGATCATGCACTCATTGCTCTCACGTTTTCAATCGGGCTTCCGACCAAAACATTCGACATTGTCCTTATTAATACAAATGAGTGATAAGTGGCTCGAAAATATAGACAATGGAGAAATAACCGGATTAATTTCAGTTGATATTAAGAAAGCCTTTGACTCTATTGATCATAACATATTACTAAAGAAGTTGCACGAGCAATTTGGCGTTCAAAATTTGGAGCTGCAGTGGTTCCAATCTTACTTGTCGAAACGCAGTCAAGTCTGCGTGGTTGATGGCTATACATCGTCAGCCAAAGAAATTATATGCGGAGTCCCACAGGGATCTATTGTATTGATTAAAGATAAACCTGTTATTCGCTACTCCTCTTTTCGTTGTTTGGGAGTAGAACTAAACGAAAAAATGAGCTGGGATAAGCATATAGATGCAACATGTAAAAAAGTTGCGTCCGGCATTGGAATTATTAAAAGAGTAAAACAATTTGTACCGTACGAAACTTTACAAAATTTGTATAATTCTCTCGTGCTCCCATATTTTGATTATTGCTCTCCTTTATGGGATAATTGTGGAAGCTTACTTATTGAAAAACTGCAAAAACTACAAAACAGGGCGGCAAGAATTATGACAGGGGCCAACTACGATGTTAGATCAACAGATTTGCTCCATGCTATGTCGTGGAAGAATCTGAATGATAGACATAAAATGAATAAATCTGTTTTTATGTTTAAAATACTAAACAACCACTCATCCCCTAACTTAAAACATAAATTTATTACCAGGGAGACAAATATGAGAAATTATAATCTTAGAAATGGCGACATAAATCTCTCACTTCCTAAACCAAAAACTGAATATTTAAAAAAGAGTTTTGGTTACAGTGGGGCTGCGCTATGGAATAGTCTACCAAAGCAAGCAAAGGAAACAAAATCTTTAGGTATCTTTAAAAATATGATAAGATAATGTAACTACTGAGTCAGACATCGATTATTCCCAGTTTTTATCTTCTTTAATACTTACATTGCATGTTTATTCATTTATATTATAATACTATTTTTAATACTTGTACATAGGTATTTTTAATCTATTGCAATTGTGTGACGCCCCTCACGAAAACCATCAACAGATGATGAGGGTAGCGTGGTTAAATAAAGTTTTATTGATTGATTGATTGATTGATTTCATCGAATGTGAACCCGTTTTTGGGTGCGTACTTTGCTCGTATTTCAAGGACATTTTGAATGTCAGGCTGGCAGACGTCTGCGTTTTAGGACCTGTAACATTCGACGACGAATTTGGGCCAAGATAAAAGTTACATATTCAGAATCTGTGTTATGTAAGCTTTCTATCGATACCAGTTTCATTGAACATGAAGCCGTTTTTGGGTGCTTACTTTGCTCGTATTTCAACGCGCATTTAACGTACATCACTATATGCGATTTCGAATGTCAGGCTGGCAGACGTCGGCGTTTTAGGAGCTGTAAGATTCGACGACGAATTTGGGCCAGGATAAAAATTACATATTCGGAATCCGTGTTATCTAAGCTTTCTATCGATACCAGTTTCATTAAATACGAAGCCGTTTTTTATTGTTTACTTTGATCGTATTTCAACGCCTATTTAACGTACATCATTATATGCGATTTCGAATGTCAGGCTGGCAGACGTCAGCGTTTTAGGAGCTGTAAGACTCGACGACGAATTTGGGCCAGGATAAAAATTACATATTCGAATTCTGTGTTATCTAAGCTTTCTATCGATACCAGATTCATTAAATATACTGCCTGTTTTTAACGGCAAAATAAAAAATAGGTACGCAGCGCGTACATGTGACTACCGCTCTGTCTTTGTCATCTGAGTGGTATCATGGATTTGGCTGGCCATTCAGTTTACCTTTTTTCAAAGGTGAAAGGTTGTGCATGTAGCCAATAACGGCCGGATTATTTCTTCGCGAAGCCATGAATATCGTCTGATTAAACTGATTCACTGAATCAGCACGGCATACTGCGTGTGACTTTTTATACTAAAGCGCGTGGTTGACACTACTGTACAGGGTGTCTCAAAAAAACGCGACCACTTAAATATGCAAGAATATTAATATTGTTCGGGTTTGCACCATAGTTCAGCTAAAATGACTTTTAGCATTTTAAACGAAGGATTAAGAGCCATTTTCAATTTCCAGAGGTGCGTATCTATTGCGCTTTAGAGCTGTAGTAATGTTCTGCATAATTAAGTGATTGCGTTTTTTTTAAGACACCCTGTAGTCCAAAGAATGGGCCATGTCATTACCGGAGGTCATTGGTGCATGTGTAGAATCCTTTGTCAGTCAGAGAAGAATACAATGGATCAGTGAGGATCGGCATATTATTATCACTGTTCATTGCTGATGATTGATGAAAGGTCTCATTCTTTCCTAAATAAGCAGGCTATTTTACTCACCATGCCACTAATTACCACATTCTTTGATCGTATTCAATGAAGGCAGTAAAGCTAATGCTGAAGTGAATGACGATGCGTGACGATGTATAAAGTAATTGGGATCACGTTTCGACCTGTTCGGCCGAAGCATAATTTTAGGTAGAATGACACGGCCTTTTATTTTGCGTTCATGCCTCTACTTATGTTTACAGAAACTGATTGTGCATGTGAGCTATATGCTAAAGTTTCAGCATTCACATCTACAAATATTACATGTTATAGTATTAAAGTATAAAAATTGCATTTGGTTTTGCAACGCATCCGCGGTATTGATTAACTCCAAATTTCATAAGATATGAGCGATTAGCCGTTTTCACATCAGAAGACGAACAAATCGTCTATAGACAAACAAATCGCTTGCTGTCGGCCGTCTGCAGGTGTTCTTTAAATACTGTAGCTGTTTTCACACTAGAAGACCATATGTGTCGTTTAAATATTGATTATTATATTTGAGTAAGACGTGCAAAGCTCAAACAGCTCAAAAATGTAAGCAAAACAACGTACGTATAGAAAAGCTGTGTTGATACTAAAATAATTTGTATTTGAATTGCATATTTGATTGCACCGGAAAGGTTGGCGATAAACAGCGAAAACTGCCGAGTGTGACGTACATCAGCTGTGTGACGTAGTGCTGAGTGTGACGTCATGGTCCAAGACAAGCATTCAAGAAAGCAAGCAAGCAAGCAAGCAAGCAAGCAAGCAAGCATGCAAGCAAGCAATCAAGCAAGCAATCAAGCAAGCCTCTGACATAGTGGCTACCGCTTACGCGGTAGTCACAAAAATACGACATAATATATTGTATTTACGTATCGAATTTAGTGCGGATGAATATCGTGCTAGCTTCGCATATGTTCGATTTTGTTGTTCTCGGAGGAAGAGCGAATCCTGTGGTGAATCCTGTGATAGCTTCACACTAGTGGATTTGGCGTTCTCCGGAGACGACGTTCAATATGGCGCAGGAAAAAGCTTCTTCAAGGTAATTAATTACTTTATTTCGGTAGATATTTTACCCCTAATCTTTTAAAAAACTATTAAGAATGGTTGTATGTCTACAGAAAGAAGTAGAATCAAGATAACTTGTATTTTGTATAGTCGTATTTATAGCTAATGATTTGTTTCTTCTGGCATCACACTCAGACATCGCATAGCTAAAACAGACCGGTAAAATTAATGGCCAGTGCAATGTTTTGTGTGAGTTTTTCAGCTCTTCAGCTTTGCTACATGTATGCGCAATGAAACTGGTCAGGCTGGGTAAGATGTAGGGACGGTTTTATATTAAATTCAACGAATTAAATTCGACTGAACTGCGAAGTGTAAACAACCTTAGTTAGACAAATTATTCAAACTACTGAATTAATATTCAACCACTTGGAGTTAAAGTGTTAAACAGCTATGTATGTATTAAACCAATGAATTAATTGTGTATGTAGTCTAGTGAATTTTGGGTCATTTGACCACATTTAGTTTGCTGAGTCTTATTTTTGTTCTATGTTATTTCACACAGTGCACATATGAAATGGAGTGAGACTCATGACCAGATGTTAGTTAGAGAATTGCTGGAATTACCATGGAATTACAGGCGTTCATCACCAGAAAGAGCAGAAGTTTGGCTTAAGATATCTGCATCACTGAATGCTTTATCCACCCCAATGTTCCGAGTTACTCAGAGGTCAGTTCGTGATAGATATGCATTGCTGGAGAAAAAATACAAGAAAAAAATTAGAGAAGAAACCCTAGCAAGTGGAATATCACCTGAAGAAAATGAAATTGATCTTGCAATGGATGAGATAGTTACCTTGTTCAACGAAGCTGATAGAGAAAATGAAAAGATTGCAGCTGATAAGAAGCGGAAGATTGAGGAGGAAAATTCTCAAGCAGCTGAGCTGAGACAACAGTCAATGGAGAGTTTTGGTGAAACACGTAGTAGAGTTAACTCAAATCCTGACCAACAAAAAGAACTGGGAGCTGGGCCAACAAAAAGAAAGAGAAGCACTGGATCAGATATGGTTTCATATCTAAATTGCAAAAGTGAAAGAGAAGCTGAACTGAGGAAAAAGGAGATGGAAATGCAACAAGCTGAGGCAGCAAAAGAACATGAGTTACGAGAAAAAGACATGAAATTGAGGGAGGAAGCTATGAAATCATCACAGCAACAAAATAGTTTCATGATGAATCAGCTACTGGAGCTACAAAGAGTCCAACAACAACAATTTATGTTGTTGATGCAACAACAGAAAGAACAAAGTACATGTATTATTTCCTTATTGGACAAAATAACACCATCACAAAAGTAACCAGAGAGGTGCTGAAATCACCTAACGCTCGCCTGCACTGTTTGTCTAGAATAAGGCTAAACTCTGTATGAAAGGTATCTGTTTGAAGCACAAATTACCGATCTTTTTATTACAAATTACAAGGCTAAAATCCACGTTGGAAGGTAATATTAAGCACAAACTTCAGATATTAGTTGTGACCTCAGAATTACTGGCCAAAACTGGTCTCGGAATTACATTAGTTTTATTTGTGACCAATATTTCTTCCGTTTCTCGCAATCCGCGCACGTGATATCAACAGGTAAGTTAACGGACCAGGCAAAAGTCCCTGCTTTAAGCCGGGCGCACACACAACGATTTTACGGTAGTTGGTCCATTCAGGTTTAGACATATAGGCAGCCCTTGCCCAGACATGTTTTCCTTCTCGCGGCGCTCGCGCCTCGCGCGTGTACGCGAGTCTACTTGGTCTAATATAGTAGATAACCCCCCCCATATAGGGATCAAAGGGTGCCGACACAATAGGTTCACGTGAACAAAAATTACGATTCACGTGAACAAAGACCATGCGTTTGCACGTGGGCATGGGTCATGGATCATGTGAACAAAGAAGTCATGATTCACGTGGACAATGACCATGAGGTACATGTGAACAGGCATCATAAATCATGTGGGATGGAGACTTTCCATCACGTGAATAGGGATCATTGAATATGTGTACAGTAGGACGCATTTAGAGTGTAAATGAGATCATTTACAATTATTTTAATATGTTATAAAATTTAAAAGATAATTCACAAATTTCTTCTGCTTTTGCCTCGTTCACGGAGATCTATACCAGCCAAGAAGTATTTTATAATTTTAATATAGTATAAACCTTTTTTTTAAAAAACCCCGACTGTTCTTACATGGAATATTTCGGTTCACAAACACGAAAAATATAGTCCAAGAAATACTCCAAACATTTTGCTAAATTAGTTCCTTTCTGCCGAGTATACGTCCATCAATTGCAAGTATGGCAGCGCGAATATTTGTTCAAATTCTCTTTTGTGGGTTTGCTGTACTTTAGCACATCATATGCTTCGCCAACTGCTTGCCAAAGCCTAGTTTTGTTTTCCTCTGCTTTTGCCTCGTTTACGCAGATCTACCGACCAAGCGATCTGGGTTCCTTCTGCTGATTTTTTCAATTTTAATTTCCTCTGTATGAAGTTTATTAATGTTAGCCATAATCTCATCTCTGGCTAAAGTCTTCACTGTTGTTAAATCAACACCGTACATTTGTTTAAATGAATGAATCATTTTAGCATGAGTAAATTGGTGCTAATAATTAAGAAATGTAAATGAAGGGATTTCGCACGGTTGAGCACATCAAGTTAGATCCTGTTTACACTGTACCCGATTCGCATGGTCACGACATCAGTTTACGTTGTTTTACCGTATATTTGTCCCCCAGAACTTTTTTCATTTGTCAGATCATGCTAAAGTAACCATGCCACCAAACGTTTGGAGGTGAAACTCCCGTTGACATGATTAATTTTGATGTCGTGACCATGCGAATCGGGACTAAGAGGCCACTTGGGGGATGTAAATTAGGCGCTTGCAAAATTAAATGCGTGGGAAGAGCACGTTGTGGATGTAAATGAGACCGGCTAGCAAAATGATATGCATGGAGAGAGCACGTTGTGGATGTAAATGAGGGGCGTGCGAAATTAGACAAACGTGGGTATGCTAAAGAGGAATGTGAGACCACATGAACAGAGTGTGCAAGTGGTGTGATTAACACGTCGTCCACGCAAATGAATAATCCTTGAAAGTAATATGGGTTACAATTTTGTGGAATGAGCCGATGAGCACATGAGCATAACTGCTCATAATTGCTCGTAACTGCTCATAACTGCTCATGAGAACATGCTCAACTGCTCGTAGACATTTTTAATACCAAACTATTAAATAGTATTAATATCAGATTTGGGTAGATTTTGAAGGCAAAATGGGTTGCAATTTGGTGCAATGAGCGTATGAGCATGTGCTCATAACTGCTCATAACTGCTCGTACACATGCTCATAGCTGCTCATAGCTGCTCATATAGCTGCTCAACTGCTCATAGCTGCTCATAGCTGCTTATAGCTGCTCATAGCTGCTCATAGCTGCTCATAGCTGCTCATAGCTGCTCATAGCTGCTCATAGCTGCTCATAGCTGCTCATAGCTGCTCATAGCCGCTCATAGCTGCTCATAGCTCATTTTGCTCAACTTCTCATTGCCAATTTTTAATAGTCCAAATTAAACTATTACTAGTATTAGGCCAGAAAAGTAACATACTGGTTGAACGAAATAACAAAGACAATCATTGGAATAACGATTTTAACATTTATTTTTCTGTTATAATAATTTCTTCTAAATCGTTTTTTATCTCTTTTTGTTCGTTTTTCATGGTTTCTTTATAAGAATGGTTTAGTAAATCATTATTTCTAATCATCATCATCGCTATCTGTATTTTCTTCTTCATCCTCAACCTGGTGATTGTTTAAAAGCCTTTTAATAAGAAACTTTCTCTTATCAACAGCAGCTTCTATTGCCTCTTCTGGATCAAAATCGTCATTTTCAACGAACGCATCTTTGGTGTGCATTATTTTCTTATGTACTGGATCTTTCTTTAGTTGTCTCATCCACAGAAGCCGTTCCAAATAAATATTTTCCAATTCTTTCTGGAGTATAGGCATAATATTCGAGTAAGCTTTCTCCTTAGCAGATTGCTCATCCAGGCCAGTGTTTATAAGGCTTTCTTTCATTTCTTCGAAATCTGTATTACTTTTTTGCTTTGCTTCTTCTATTAGGGGTATCCATGGATCCATTTTTTCTTCAGTTTCTGAGTCAGTCGTCATCGAACTTTCAGACTTTACAGATGAAGTGGTCGAGACATCGTCCTGCAAATCCCTTTCTTGACTGTCCGAGCCTCTTCGAGACATGCCTCTTTCTTGCTGTTTTAGTGGACAATATTCCCGTTCGTGTCTGCGCAGATTGTAACCGCGTCTAAAGTGTTTCCCGCAAAACTGGCAGCTCATTCCCTTAGGACTGATTGTGTAAAAATGGTTTGTTATTGAGCAGTAACTGAATTTTATGAGCACAGAAGCCGATTAACTCACGAGCAGCTATGAGCAGCTATGAGCAGCTATGAGCAGCTATGAGCGGCTATGAGCAGCTATGAGCAGCTATGAGCAGCTATGAGCAGCTATGAGCAGTTATGAGCAGTTATGAGCAGCTATGAGCAGCTATGAGCATGTGTCCACGAGCAGTTATGAGCAGTTATGAGCACATGCTCATACGCTCATTGCACCAAATTGCAACCCATTTTGCCTTCAAAATCTACCCAAATCTGATATTAATACTATTTAATAGTTTGGTATTAAAAATGTCTACGAGCAGTTGAGCATGTTCTCATGAGCAGTTATGAGCAGTTACGAGCAATTATGAGCAGTTATGCTCATGTGCTCATCGGCTCATTCCACAAAATTGTAACCCATATTACTTTCAAGGATTATTCATTTGCGTGGACGACGTGTTAATCACACCACTTGCACACTCTGTTCATGTGGTCTCACATTCCTCTTTAGCATACCCACGTTTGTCTAATTTCGCACGCCCCTCATTTACATCCACAACGTGCTCTCTCCATGCATATCATTTTGCTAGCCGGTCTCATTTACATCCACAACGTGCTCTTCCCACGCATTTAATTTTGCAAGCGCCTAATTTACATCCCCCAAGTGGCCTCTTAGTCCCGATTCGCATGGTCACGACATCAAAATTAATCATGTCAACGGGAGTTTCACCTCCAAACGTTTGGTGGCATGGTTACTTTAGCATGATCTGACAAATGAAAAAAGTTCTGGGGGACAAATATACGGTAAAACAACGTAAACTGATGTCGTGACCATGCGAATCGGGTACAGTGTAAACAGGATCTAACTTGATGTGCTCAACCGTGCGAAATCCCTTCATTTACATTTCTTAATTATTAGCACCAATTTACTCATGCTAAAATGATTCATTCATTTAAACAAATGTACGGTGTTGATTTAACAACAGTGAAGACTTTAGCCAGAGATGAGATTATGGCTAACATTAATAAACTTCATACAGAGGAAATTAAAATTGAAAAAATCAGCAGAAGGAACCCAGATCGCTTGGTCGGTAGATCTGCGTAAACGAGGCAAAAGCAGAGGAAAACAAAACTAGGCTTTGGCAAGCAGTTGGCGAAGCATATGATGTGCTAAAATACAGCAAACCCACAAAAGAGAATTTGAACAAATATTCGCGCTGCCATACTTGCAATTGATGGACGTATACTCGGCAGAAAGGAACTAATTTAGCAAAATGTTTGGAGTATTTCTTGGACTATATTTTTCGTGTTTGTGAACCGAAATATTCCATGTAAGAACAGTCGGGGTTTTTTAAAAAAAAGGTTTATACTATATTAAAATTATAAAATACTTCTTGGCTGGTATAGATCTCCGTGAACGAGGCAAAAGCAGAAGAAATTTGTGAATTATCTTTTAAATTTTATAACATATTAAAATAATTGTAAATGATCTCATTTACACTCTAAATGCGTCCTACTGTACACATATTCAATGATCCCTATTCACGTGATGGAAAGTCTCCATCCCACATGATTTATGATCCCTGTTCACATGTACCTCATGGTCATTGTCCACGTGAATCATGACTTCTTTGTTCACATGATCCATGACCCATGCCCACGTGCAAACGCATGGTTTTTGTTCACGTGAATCGTAATTTTTGTTCACGTGAACCTATTGTGTCGGCACCCTTTGATCCCTATATGGGGGGGGTTATCTACTTAATATTATGACCAAGTATAGATCGCCAGTCGCCGCATTTTGATGAAAACATCCATCTAGACAATCTAGACAGGAATCGGCCGACTAAAATCGTCGTGTGTGCGCCTAGCTTTATGAAATAAACAAGATTGGATTTTTATATCTACACAAAAAAGGATTA